AATCGAATAAAAAAAGAAATCCGAGATAATATATTTATCGGAAATTTACGGTCCGAAGAAATATATTTCTAAATATTATCCTTTTATGCGCTTTCGAGAAAATATCGCACCTTTCAATTCCCAGAGATAGACCTATAGATACCCACGCCTTTATATAGACATATATACACCCATGCAGACACACACACACCCACACATACGCACTGAGACGCACAGACAGACACACGGACAGACAGACAAACAGACAAACAGACGGACCCACGGACAGACGGACGGACAGACAGACGGACGGTCAGACAGACGCGCGGACAGACAGACAGACGCACGGCCGGACAGATTTCAGATTATCAATTTATCGTATAAATTACAATGGACAGGAATTATGATGAACTACCATTTTTCTGCCTTCGAGGTGTCTTTAATTTTCAAAATTTCTCGTTTAAATTTTCACATTCAGAAGAAATTTATGTAAGAACTACATAATTCTACATATCCGAAATAAAAACAATCTTTAATACTACTCTAGATTTCTATGATATAATATCCATTAATCATTGATTATTATGATCTAATATTAGACTTTGAACTTACCATTTCCAAGTCCATTCTTCTTAAAGCCCATCCTCTTCGAAGGGCTTCTTCTCCTCCTCCCCCTCCCTCCCCCCTTGACCAGTTCCAAGGGCACCGATGTGTTTCGTAACCCGATTTTGCACATTTTTCCATCCCCCATCCGCTGCCTCCCCTCCTCGCTCCTTCTCCGTCCCTTTTTCTGTCGTAAGGCACGAGCAAACCATGCGAAGCGCTGACAACTGAACATGTAGAAATATCAGCTAAGGCTTCTCAAAATCAAATCAAACATTTAGGCATTTATCAAACAGAATCAGCACGATCGAGACATTCAACACTGTTACGAAGCCCAGAAGATAGATTTCGAGCCAATCGTGAGGGACATGACAGGGGGGAAGCTGAATGGGGACTCAGTATCCGCGGAAAAGTATTCAGTCTTACCAAGAAAGCCTGCAAGTCTGACATTTCAAAACATACCTAGCGAGATAATTTAAGTCTCTTGGAAAGCGGGTCTGGAGGTCTTGAAGCTCTCGAACATTATCTTGTAGGATGCATGTGCGGGGCTTCGAACGTCCCCATCCAAATCTCTGATGTTTTAGATCATCTACGGAGGTATGCATGCGACGTTCGCGAGCAGATGTCTCGACAGGGAGTGGACAGTCCTTACTATCGACAACTTCAGACTTCCACAAAATCGAGTCATCAGAATTTGGACCTGCAATACGGCATGCATAGCTGCACAATACCTGACATCACGCACACATACACTTTTCCTGCATTTTGCGATCAAAGGAAGTTCTGCAGATGTATTCTGCGCACCCTGCGCTTCCACGCCGCTGGGAGGGCGGTAAAGTCCGTGGGTTGCAGGGGAAGTGTGGCAGCGGCTTCGGAGTCGACGTAGTAGACCTGCACAAGCAGCCGTGGTTGAAGAAGGGAGGAGTGAAAGCCACCCAAACAGAGCCTTCCGCTTGTCGCCCCAGGGCAAAGACCGGATCATGTCCAGCATGCCAGGTGCAATCCGGCCTCAAGTTCAGGCTTTCTTATGCCGACCTCTGCAACAAATCCTGCCGATCCTGCCCTCCCAGTCCCAAGTGACACTGAGCTCTTATCCGAAACTCCAGTTGTAGCCCACTCCCAGGCACACTTTTCTGTCCAGGCCGAGCAACTTAGCTGTAGCCCAAGCCAGACAATATATCTCTGGACTGCACGGTCAGGTACTGTTCTTTTGCTGATAAGGGCTGAGCTTTGCGGCCAATTGCCCTTGCAGCCTCTAGGCTTCGAGGGATACTTCGACATTTTCATCCAGAGTCAAGCTTACGTCATCCGTGCCTGCTTCAGCCCATCTCCGATACTCGTCGGAAACGTGTACGACTTGATGTCGAAGACGCGCGGCTTGAGGCAGATCTCAGCGCTGTTACCGCGGGCTTCGAAGTCTCAGTCGACTCGATTCTGCACAGCCTCGCCTCGTCACTCCCCGCACAGTCTCCGCAGGGGTCCTCAGAGGAAATTCATGTTCTGTCACCATGACCAGCATGGGCCAACGTTGGCGCACCGTGTGAAGATATTCTAGTTTTCGAAGCACAGGGTCATGGCAACTGTAAAACCCTCCAACGCCCAGTCAGCAACAAAGCCCAGTGTGCTCCTGTTTTCATGCAGTTCAAGCAGAGACGATCAATTTATCGCCCCAGAGCTTGTTTGTGGAACATTGCTATTGCAGCCGGTTCTCCCGCATCGTGTGTTGCGGTAACTACTTGCAATCGCTGCAGGCTGCAGATGGCTGTAGGTCCTGGATCCAGCCTACGCCAGTGCCCATGTCGTACGAATAGTTGTGGTGCAACACCTCGAAGGCTTGGACGTGGGGAAAACTCCTCTAGCTGCCCCGTCAAGGCTCACGCCGTCAAGGGCTGGCAGATGTAGACCTCTTTGTGTCCTTTTCCTTGGCTGAAACAGCTGCCAGAAGCTGGTGCCCATCCAGTTTTAAACTGCTGACCTCCAAATGCTCAAGGACGAGGATCTAAGGCCGACGGCCGCCAACATCTTCCACAAGTTCGCCATAGGACCTGAAAGAGTGAGTATTTCCAGATCTTGGTAAGGACTTGTGGGTAGTAGCGGTTTCAGCATGGAACGGCCTTCCTGGTCATCTGGACTCAAGAGCTGGCTTCGACAACATTCTGCCCACTCGCCGGTGTCAACCTCAGACATTTCAGCAAGCAAGAAAGATGATCAGGCAGCCGGTCGGCTTCAGGTGTTGAAAGGTGCCTGACTCTGCAATCCTGCGACTTTCAGAGAATGTGTCTCGCTTTGGGAGTTGGTCTGGCAAACCACATTTCGTGTCTCAGGTGCACTGAGGTTCTGGCCGCGTGGACATACTCAGGCGCCCGGCACGGAGTACGCTGCGGCGAGACATGACTCATGATCAGTCGACAGATACGCTGGGAAACTAGATTTGACAGAGACATCACACACAATGACGACTGCCGGCAGGAACAGCTTGCATGGTGCCTCAGGGCCCTTGTCTGTCACCTGCCGAGGTTTGACACTCATTGGCACTCCGATTCGTTTTCAAGCATGGCTTGGGCCCCTGCTCGTCGATTTTGCCAGAGGTCATTGATCTGCAGAAACCAGCAACGGCAAACGCATCAGTAATTGCCCTCGCATGCTTCCAGCGAAATCGGCACATTGACTCCGTGCCGCCTTTGCGCAACCTTCTGCGTGACCATCGACGTACTCCTGTCATGCATGCATTCTAGACCGCGCTTGGATTTGTGAGACCGCGGAAACTGTAAAGGGCCGGGCATGCCCAGAACTCCGAGACGTGCAGTAATCAGTAAACAGGCTTGGGACACAAGGGATCCGGCTTTATGGGTGCAGTCCACATAGAAGGATGTTGCCTGCTCAGCGTACAGCTGCTGAAAGCAATGCCCTATTCGATCTCGACAGCTACTGCATGCAACCATGATACAAATTCACGTTTTCAGTTTCTTTTACGACAACCTTGTGCAAAACCGACGGATTTGCACAAGGCACAAGGACGTGCGGTAACCAGAGCAAGCCTCCTGTTCTGTTGGGGGTCCGGGGTCGAGCCTCATACTGCCCCCCCCTTTCCATGCACGATAACGGAGCTGGCGCTGTTTCTCGGTCTCTCGTTAGCATGCTTGCTCTCTCCCTCTCGCTCCCGATCTTGCTCGTGCCCCTTGTGAAGCAGACTCCCAAACGTGGCTGAGCTTGTCAAGGGCTCAGACTGCACATCGTTCTACGCCGCGCGTGCACCACTTTCTCCCCCAGCTCCACCAAGGGGCGGGCCTGCGGGGGAAGGGCGCGCTTTCATGTTCGACTGGCTTGTTTGACCCTCGGTGCTTCATCTGCTCACTACCAAGAGGATCTGCTGTATTGTCTCAGGGTACGTATCCTACTGCTGCACGCTAGCGACATCCCAAGCTCTCCGCAACTTCCACACTTCTGGGAATTACGGATGCGAGCTCATTACAGCGATTTCGTTTACTCCTGGCTGCCACTGCCTGCTTGTTCTGAGCACTTGGGGATATTTCGATGCGGGTGGCCTTGGGTCTCTTTGTTCTTTGAGGCGTGGAGATCGAGCCTGCGTTTCTAGTCGCATCTGTTGGATCCTGAGGCTTTTCCACCTTTCTTGGCGAGCTCCAAACTCTTTTGACAGCATGTTGGCAGCGCCAGCTGATGAACGCTGGGCATCCATCGCGGTTTCGACGAGTCATCCTGGGTTCAACTTGAAAGTTCTATTGACCAAAAGAGCGAGGCTTGAGCCTTTCCTGAAACGATGCTACTTCCGGAGGCTCCAGGCGGCATGTCAAAGAGGCGGCCTTGTACATGGCCTGAAGTGTCTCTGCGTGCGCCGCGTGCGCAGTGAGCCATCGCACGTCTGTCAATGATTCTGCTGCATGTCACTGAAACTTACCGGGCTTGCTTACACAAGACTGATCGACTACCGTGCGGCTCTGCCGGGCGCTCTGAGCTCTGCAGGTTGTCAACTTGCAAGTGGCTACTTTGGACCGCTTCATGAACCCAACAGATCGCCTTTCTGAAGCAAGGTGTCCATGGGTAGTTTTCTAAACTAGGGTCCCTTATAGGCTCCCTTTCATAATGGTGCCGTACTTTATTGGGGACCTAAAAGGGACCCGAATTTAGAGAACTACCCCCATGCAGAACCCTGAATGCCGGTCGTTTGGGCACCAATGCAACGTTCTGCGGCTCGAGCGGTGGCCTTCGGCCAACCTGCCGTTCTTCCTACTCAACTACTGGCTAATTCGAGACACGGCGACTGTGCAGGTCTCTGCACGGGTTCACCTACTGTTCATGAACTCCGTGAAACAAGTCCTAATAGAAAGGCACTGTTTTATTGATCTGCCTATTCTGCGTTCTGTAGTTGTGTAGTAAGCAAACTAGGTCTAGATTTCCACTTACATGTCGAAAAGGATGCACTCACGCACGGAGTCACCAGCCTGCCATCGAGCCACACTGCAAAGAGATGCAGAAACCGCGAGTTTGCGCCTGCGGCCGGCAGTGCCGCCAGGGGCAGTCGCGGCCTGCTTTGCAGCGAGAGGACTTGGCCCACTCGGCCTCGGCGGCGGCGCACAACTTTGCTTTTTTGAAGCTCTGATCTTTTTTTTTTACTTGAATTGGGGCAGTTGCACACACTGGCCGGGCATCATCCACAGCAGCATCACCTCAGGCGTTTGACGGAGTGAGCTCTCTGCTCTCTGTGTACTGACATGCCAATCGTGACGTTCGTTGAGGTTCAGAGCTCTTGGCTGAGGTTCTGCATTCGCCATCGCATCAGCATTGCGGCTAGCGGCTAGCGTGCGTGAACACGCATACCACCACGACTTCGCGAAGGCCTCGTTGACGTTTAGGCGCACTGTGACCGAGTGGGAGCCGGGTCAAGCTTCTCGGTGTTGCCGCTTGTCGTGCCAGGCTTCCGTGATTTTGCATGTTCAGGTGGGTTCATCACTCGTGGGCTTTCATTCTTTTGGGATATCCTCGAGATACAGCGGCAAGAGCGTCACAGCTCCTACGATGCGTTTTTCGGCTTTGTACCTGAGATTGCCTGAGAAAACATGCCACATGGTCAAGGACAAGCTTGGTTCTTACATGCCGTCGTGCTCCAGACGGCAGCCAGAAAGAAAACGCTCAACACCTGAAGAAAATCCCCAAGTTTTCGTCGGGCACCTCACAGAGGACATTGGCAACCTCTCAGGGCTCATGTTACCCCTTGGGTTGCCGGCCCAAGACTTCTTTCGGAGGTAGAATATCCACACCCATGTCACCTTCGAAGAACATCAGCTTCAAAATGAAACCAAGACAACGCTTGACTCAGAGGTATCGTGTGCAGAGGACTTATTTTCTACAGGCTTGGCTCCGCTGGTTGTCGCCTCCTTGCGATGAGCCGTGCTCGTAGGTGTAGGTGTCACCTTTCACATAGAGACACACCGTGCGGTGTTCTAGGTACGACATACATTGCGTGACCAGTTCCGCAAGATATGCATGCAAGCAGTGAATTCGCTTATGCTTGATTTTTTGTTCTCCTGTCAAAAGATGGCCCTGTCTGAAGCTGGATGCGACCTAAACGGGACAAGGGAGACAGGCTTGGTGCCTGTGATTGGCCAGACTGCTCTTTGGGAGCCTTTGGGCAGCAGCTTGATACCTGCACTGTGAGCGACTTCCACAACAGGAGCTCCTCAATTTGGAAAGCCCTAGGACCTAGGAATTTCCCCATCCTTCGCCGTCTGGATCCAGAACGCATCGATCGGAGGGGAGCTCGTGGGTGCGTGCAACCAGCGCCGCTAAAAGCGCCTGCGCCTGACTTAAGAGAGAACACTCAAAAGAGCACCGAAAGAGTGCCTCTGTTTTTAGGGCCTCCTTCATGTGCGACTCGCTGATGTCCCGAGACTCTGCAACCTTCAGCCATGTCGATTCGTTAGGCTCAGAGTACCTTGCGGGCTCTCCCAGTGGTCTTTGCGAGCCTGGACGGCAGCACGCAGATCTTCAATATGCTTCCATCCGCCGCTTCGCACCTTCTTTTGCGGAGCTTTCACGGTTGCACGACAGCTTCAACACATGCACCTCGCTCTCGGCCATTTTGAACATAGTCGTTGCTATCCACGGCCTTGGACTAATGGCCACTGCTGAAGCTACACTGCCTGCATGCCCCTTGAGCTTCGAGTTTCCAGCTTGCCCACGACAGGTGCCTCGGTCAACCTTCCAATACAGGCCATCACAAGATGATGCAGACATATGAGACATGCTCGCCTTGGAAAGCTGCAGATTCGTATCAGTTTTTGGGGTCACTTAAGCCGTGACTCCAGGACAAGATGAGACTTGCGGACTAGCTTTCATAGCCTGAAGACCCTCCAAAATCGGCCTGACTTGGGCAGCCCATCGCAGATCAGGGCGAGCTTCCTGCCGCGCAGACAGCTCGATCCAACTCTGTGCCTTTGCACTTTGGCACTTTGGCGCGCAGCAGCTTCAAACATCCTCTACGGCTCGCAGTAGTTCTCTCTCTGCCTGGCAGCATGTGATCTTGACGTACCAAACTTTGTCACATCAACTCCAGCCTCCAGGGTGCTTAGCCATTTCCTCGGTTCAAGGACTTAGAGCTGTTGCCACTTCGAGTCGCATGCCCATGTGGTTCACTGAAAGCGCAGCCGAGCCACTCTCCCTTCTGAAGAACGTCTGCCACACCAGCACGAACCTGCTGGCAACAGCGCTCTACAATCACCTGCTTCTGGCATTTCTTTCGGCGCGGGCTGCCTGAAGGCCCCTTGATCGGGCTATGGATATGGCATCGCGCAATAGCTTAGCCTGGAAGGGGTCCGGATCGTTCGCCCTGCCCACCAAATGTCGCATTCCCTTTAGCGAAGCGATGTCCCATGCGTCCTCAAGCGCAGCGCAAGCTTCATTATCTCTGCGCTCCTCTTCGATCTCATGTGCAGGTCTCATTGGTGGCAGAGGTGCTTCGCGCTTCTTGTTGCGAGGCAGGTTGCCAGATGCAAAAAAAGTCACTGGGTCCGCGTGGTAGGCATTGAGAAGGCGGGCGGGTCCAAGAACCACTTTGCGAACGTGGCTGGTGTTAATCAGTCCCATGTAGTAACAGGCCAGGCAAGAGCATGTAAGTCCAATGACGACCAGAATCGCACTTCCGGCCCACGCATAATCAGAAATCTGTTGGGCGAAACTTGGTGCACGTGAGGTCGTGCCCAGGCTGCCAAGAAACTGAGAATAAGCATCTAAGCTTGTTGTAGTACCAAGCCTCTCAATCATGTCGGGTGGAAACCGGCCAATCCACTCGGGCAGCTCCAGAGCAAGCATCGGGGACGCCTCTCGCTCACCCGATGGACATTCTTCAACAGTTTCTACGCAGCAGTGGTCCCCGGTGCAATAATACGGATCCTTGCACATTACAGGCACATTGTTGGGACACCGCCACCTGAATTTGTGCGTGTTGCAAACTTGCATGGTATCAGCTTGGCGTACCTCCACTTCGTGCGTAGTTTTGTCTACACACTCCATGACATTATCCTCCGGATATGGTGTTTTCCAGGCTTCGGGGTTGTATGGTTGCTCTGAAACTAAGTTCACGCAACCCTCGATTCGCCACGGCAACTCCAAGCTCTTGCACTTCCCAGGAATGCCCTCTATTGGGTAAGGCGGATCGGGCTCTCCCAGTTTGTTCATGAACTCACATAAGAAGCCTGCACAGTAGCCACTCAGCGCGTACTTCTGGCTGAGTTCGACACCCCGGCGTCCAAGAAAGAGAAAATCATAGATTTTGGACTCGCAGCCCCCTACGCTTGGGACTTGCAGCAAACTGAAAGAGGGACAAAAACACTCACAGAAGCCTTCAGCATCGCGATAAACAGTTTCGCAGAGTGTTTGGTTAAAGTTTACGAGCGGCCGGCATTCATCACCTCCGTAATACAAGTTGGTGCCTGCATGCGACAAGTTCGATGCAAGGTCTCCCAAAGCCTGACAATATGACTTGCGGCAATCTTCCCAGACTCCCAGCCCGTTAGCTGCCCACTCGCGACAGAGCTGGGGCGCCACAGACACGAAGCTCTGCAGCGCTTTGATCTGGAGCTCGTTGCAAATATCTGTGGAATTGGGATATGGGGCTGGCAGCCAACTACTGTGTCGGGCGCAGGTCGGCGTGTCGCAGTCAAACTGGTTTCCATTCGCGACCGACCAGAGCCCCAACAGGCAGAGTCGGAGTGGAGCGGAGGGACGTCGACGTCTCCCAAGTAGCTGCTCCATGCGGCAAAGGCTCTCCGGAAGGCCGTGACAAGTGTGCTTGTGCCTAATGACCTGCTTGTTTCCGCGCCGTATGCACATCAAAACACGATGAATGAGAGTTGCAGAAACTGACATTGTGACTGTGTAGAGTCTAGGTTTGCATCTTCGTCTTGATCCGACAGATGAGATCTGAGCGCTGCAGAACATTAACGCTCCAATTTGCGGGCCCGCCCCCACTCCCCCTCTCCCTCTCCCTCTCCCTCTCCCTCTCCCTCTCGCTCGCTCGCTCTCTCTCGCTCTCTCTCGCTCTCTCTCTCTCTCTCTCTCTCTCTCTCTCTCTCCGGGTCCAGGTCTGCTCACGCAGACCTGCGCCGAGGCGCCCCCAAAGATTCCTATGGTATAGCGGGAGTGGCTGGTTGTTGCAAAAGCCCTCCCTGAACTTTACCCTGCATCCCGGCCTCATTTCCGCGCCCGCTGGCAGTTTTCCCCCATCTGACAACAACAGCACAAGACTGAGTACCGGACTCAGTATAAGGTTCCACTATCGGGGGGGCTGCCATTGCTCGGCGTCCACCTTTTTAGAAACAACACTGGAACCAACACGTGGGCTGATCACGAAGACAAGTGGATCTCCCCCGTTCTCTAAGAACTAATAAGAAATACTGAGTACTGAGGGTTTCACTTGGGGTGTGGTGCTGCATCAATCTATTCTATTCTATTCTCCGGGGCATAAGGTGCGGGTTAGGCACCCCGCGCCGTGAGGCGCACCCCTGTTTCGGGGCTCTGTTACCCTCTCTCTCTCTCTCTCTCTCTCTCTCTCTCTCTCTCTGTCTTCTTCGTCCACACAGCCCAAACACGGCACACTGCTGCACCCCCCATGCGCGCACGCGTGCTGGTCTGCTTGTTCCTCAAGGGCACAACTCACTCTAGAAAGCTTGACCCAAGGTGTGGCGGCTTACGTGTGTGAAGCTAGCGCAGGGAATCCTGTTGGATGACAATGTGCTCCACTGCTACGAGGCTTGTCACGGGACTTGATCGAAGCAGATCACGGCCTCCGTGATCCCAATTTCAGGTCTCATCAGTAGTGATCTCATGCAGGTGATGCATTTCGCGCCGCAATCTTTCACATTCGCGAATGATGTGTTCTGACAGAGCCCTCGGCATTGTGCAACATCACGTAAGAACCTGCGCCGAAATCCGAACACACAGGCGCAATGTGGCTACGGCTGGATGTATGAATGCACGACTTGCAGTTGCCGCACATAGCTGTGAGAATTTGAGCGCACCTCGCAGCCTTCGGCTGTGATTAGGATTGTATGCTCAAACCTCATGACTACAGAAGCATGCAGTGCAACTCGCAAAAAGCCTCTGAGACTTGGGCTGGGCCGCGCGGCCGCCGTCCTTTGTCGCAACGGTCCATCCGTCTTCCCACGTAAACCACTCTGGTTCGCCTTCAAGTGCGCACGAGCCCAAGCTACGCGCAGTTTGGCTTCGAGAGTTTTATTCCTGGAGCCTTCTGTCAGAACCGGTTCGATGGTGAAGGTGGTGCCTTCCTGCAAGACATAACGATGCACATGCATCGAAGCAGCGCTTTATGTCATTACTCATCTCATGGCTGGCTATGCCAATGATGTCTAGGCAGAGGGTGACGTCCTTCGGGTGCTGCGGAGTATATCAACAGCTTTTTAGAATTGGTCCCTTTGCCGTGTCAACGTTTACACAATTTCATCAGACCTACAACTATCTTCCTGGCCACACGAACCAGATATGATGAGAATGGGGGAAACCTGGAACCCTGCGTCCAGAGTCGCCTGCATCTTTCGATTGTCGCTGTTGCGGCAGTGGAAGATCTGCGCCAAAGCAGCAGGCAGCGACAAGTAAGGCTACCGCTTTTCTGCAGCGTCACCTACTCTCGGATCCTAGTCTCATCACTATCGAATGACTTAACATGGTTCCTATGCAGCTGGAGCCTGCGGAACTCCATGAAAGAACTCCCCGATTCCATGGCCAACCAGGGTCTTGACGATGCCGAAGCCTTCGCGTTCAGCTATGTTTGCTACCTGGCAGGCACATGTGCTGGATCGGAGTCATAGGTTGTGCTACGAGTAGCAAGGGAAAACGGAGCAAGGCTGACTGCATCGCCGATGGCTTTCAGAGGCGCTCCAGGACCGCAAACGGCCACAGCGGCATCCAGCGCCTGCCACTAAGCCGGACTGGGCACGAACAAGACAATCTCGCAGTAATGCCAAGCGCAAACGCACTCCTAGCCTCGCGCGTGGACGCCACAAGACGCTCGCCTGGCCCAGGAAAGGGCTGAATCAGAGCACTACAACTACAACTGCATTTTGGAAAGGTGAAGACGGGGAACCTGCCGGATCTGCCTCACCACACATCCATGTCCGCGCAGTGTCTGCATGGAAGCCATGTCTGTACAGCGTCACATCCACATTTACCAGATCACCATCTTCCAGCGGGCGGCAGTCAGGAATGCCATGACAAATCACCTGAGCCAGGAAGCTCCTGCGGACGGTCGCTGAGAGACTGGAAAAGGAAATCGCGAACTGAGACCAACACTTCGTTGATGCTGATCATGACACTCTTCGGGAAGCCTTTGTACTGGAGATCGCTCGGATAAGCTCCATGGTCACAAATAAAGGTATGCAGTTCCTTGTCCATCTGCTCAGTAGTGATGCCTGGCCGAATCAGACCAGCGGCCAAGTCCAAGGCCGCATGCGCCAGCTCCCCAGCAGACCTCATTGCCGCCACGTCTTCGTCCGTTTTTGGTTCAATTCGTGAGTTCCACCAGCCACGTACTTGGTCTGGATCAGCAACATAAGGAGGTGCTAGGATCCCATCTGGCACAGGCTGCGCAGGAAGTATTTCGCCCCTTGTGACCAGACTTCTCTTCTTCATGGCAAGTGCCTGTAAAGAAACTTTCCCAGCTCTGTGCCTCTGCCTGTAACCGCAATAGCCGAAAGCCATTGGCAAGAACCACGAGGAGACTCTGCATACTTCGCATGCTTCACTTCCAAACGGCCCCAAAGAGCTCCGCGCAATCCTCTTCGTACTGCGCAGGGGCTGGGGCTCACGACTGCGAAGCGAGTTCTGAACGGGAGCTCGTACATCAATCTCCATGGCGACAGCGACGGACTGAAGACATACGGAGATGACACAAGAGAGCAAACATCACCTGTCCCGAAGTTACTTGGACTTAGACGGTTTACACACTCTAGCTTGTTATTTCGTTGTGGGCATCGCAGCGACCTCAGCCAGCATGAAGAAGACTTGAGGTGGGTGGTCCAATCATCTGAGCCGGAGTGTATGCATCTTAATGTCAGCTTGCACTTAGGACGTGTAACGTGCTTTCCAAGCTGGTCGCGCCATATTTCACTTCCGCCAATCTGGATTCAGGACTCCTGCTTAGTGCATGGTTTCCTCGACTTCCTGCCAGCTGCAGTGTCAGATCCCTGCTTCTACCTGGGACAGCTTCAAAGAACACAACACAGTTACTGCACAGCTCCTGCCGGCCAGATGCAGGCAAGTTGGACACATCGAAACGAGAATAGAGGAAAGGCGGTATTTAAAGGACTCTCTGCCAGGCCAGCTGAAGCTTCTGGAAGTGTCTCTAAGCCTGCAACATATCAACGCTGTACAGTTGTCGAATCTGCTCGAGCATGCTTTGGCATGCCATTGCTGAGCCATGTAGCGCCATAGCAACTACCGACACACCCAGCACCTACTCACCTAGCCGTACACTATATTAGCAGGCACACACGGATCAGCAATTGGGTCAATCATGCAGTGTGCCCCCAGAGTCAAAGCTCTTCATGCTCATGCGGAAAGGCCAGGGGTCCATTCGCAAGAGCTGTGCGAATCCTGGCGCAGCGGCTGAACACCTTGACCTTGTCGATAGAACCACCGCCGAAGCGGTCTGAGGCTCCCACAAAGACACCCTGTCTACCCTCCTCTTCATCCACTCCCCAGTGCCACCCCCCACTGCCAAGACTTCTCCCGGTCGGGCCGATGCGGACGACGCGAAGCGCTTACAGTGACTTCAAGTTCTCATCTGCGCTCTAGCTTTATCCACTTGCGGTTCCAGTTCCGTGCAACATGCTTAACAAGCACAGACTACCGACTGTACCCGAAACATGGCTGTCACCACCCGCCGTGATTGTTCACGAAGTGAATTCCTGAACAATTCGTAATGGCGCGTGATCCGAGGCACAAGGGCAGCTATCTGCAAACGTCGAGATTGCCGAGTGCAGCGCTAGAGCAGTTGTGGAGGCATTGAGGATCTGCCTGGTGGAGCACAGGTCGTTCAGCTCCAATTTCGCAACACTGCGTCGCAGATCCAAACTGGGGTCCGTTCTGGCGGATGTGCGCCGGAAAGAATAAACGTGCAGCGACAGTCAGGAGCAATGACCTGATTCACATCGCAATCCTCCTTGTCAAAAAAAGAACCTTGACTGCTCAGCGCACGCGCTGAGCTAACGACCAAACCATCGAGACTGTCACTGAGCGCCTCACGCATGCACATCGGGCAAAAACCGACACGCTCTGAGTTCAGAGCCTGACTTGACAAGCGGATCATCGCTTCCATTCCCAACTGGCCTTTGGACTTGAGACGGCCGCATCCTTGACGACTGTCATGCTTGTTTGGTAAAGCTGAAGGCTGTCCTGAACAGTCCCCGGCGCCCCAGTGAGAGAAGTCAACATGGAAGAGTCACCATGATGCGAAGGATGCGCCTCGTCGAGCAAGTGTTCATTCTCAAGTGTCGTCTTCGGCACGCTTTCGTCCGTGTGCCGGATCGGCCCTGAAGGAAAATCTTCCTTGCTCTCAGGGCCAGCCGTGATGAGTGGCTCCTCCGAGCCAGTGCTTGCTGGTTGGGTGCTGGCCGACCCGGCCGAAAGGCTCTCGGAGATCACAGCTGTTTTGGAAGATGAAAGGCTCTGATTGCCTTGGCGTACCTCTGTGGTCTCTGTGGCCTCGATTTCTGCCGCAGATGCCGCGCGCAAGTCCACGCTGCCATCAGGAATCACTGACTCCACAGCTTGGATTTTGTCGTCGATGCTTGCCTGACTCGAATGCTGACTGACCCGCGGATCTACGCTGGAACAGCAACCTCGCAAACCCCACCCTTTGCAAGGCGACTGGGCCTCCAAAGCTCTTGTCGGAGCAAAGCGTGACGGGACTTGGAAAGTGCCTTTCTCCTGCCACGTTGCAACCACTTTCATGCAAATCATGCTTCTGCGACGAGACCTATGCGTGGTGAGCAGCCACAGTCAAAGGAATCCAACATGCGTCTCCTTGCGCAAGGTTCGTGGCACAACCACCTCGTTGAGTTGGAAAGACTCTCACATCGCGGAAGCACTCCAGGCAGACTTCGAAAAGAATCGGTTAGATATTCGACGCTCAGTGCAGCCCGGTCTCGAGTGCAAGCAAAGCCAACAGAAAGCAGCCTGGAACACAGCCCGTCTGTATGAGCTGCATGTGTTTGGATCGACGGACGGTGCCTAGCGCCAGCCGCAAGGACTTGAAAGCCATGGCAACTTCTAGCCGATGATGGTACGGCGTTGTAAGGCTGGGAAGCAACACCAGCAAGGCCTGTGAGAGAATCGCTGCGGTGAGCGGCGATTCGGCAGATCTGATGCTCTGTGTTTCCACAGCACGAACTTGAGCGACTCGGGTACCCCCAAAGCCCTAGACCCAAAACCCTTAAACCCTAAACCCGAAAACCCTAAACCCTAAAACCCTAAACCCTAAAAACCCTAAACCCTAAACCCCAAAATAAAACCCTAAACCCTAGACCCTAAATACCCCCAAAGCTTTCAAGAGTTTTTGACCAGCCGTGGTTCTGGCTTTGTCAAGACGGCGAGTCGCGACTCGTTGGGAAGCCGCTCCCACTCCAGCCTGGCTTCCCGTCTCTCGAGGAACTTCGCAGGCTTTTTTGGTACTATAATATAAATCAATGTAATATAATATAATATAGTATAATAGAACATAGTATAATATAGTATAATAGAATATAATATAATACAGTATAATAGAATAGAATATGTTTCTGAGAGCTGCACCAATCAAGTCGAGCAAGCCTCGCCTAAGCGCAACATACGATGCCTACCACAAAGCCCGAGGTCAGGATTTCTCAGGTTGCGACGTCACCCTCGCGGTCTATCCAAGGAAATCTGCTGGTTTGTGCCTTATCTCGTTTGCATATTGCGATCCGAAGGGGAACTTTTCAACGTGCTGCTTGAAGCCTTAGGCGCCTGCCTGGAGCCCGAAATGCGGAACGCTGGTGCCGTTCCTGCATGCTTCACTTGGCATGTGTTCTGGTAGCAAGGATATGGACCATCACTGAGCCATAACGAAGGAAACACAACATTGCAGCGTTGAACTCGCACGTTCAGGAGCACAACTGCGATAAGAGTTTTCAGAAGCTCCCAAAACCTCCTCAAGGACTCAAGGGTTGAACCCTGATTTTTCCACTTGGGCAGAGGGTCACAAACCAGCCCGTTCTTGTCTCCATTCTGCTCGGGCCTCCTCGTCTGCAGGCATACATGCTTGGGACCAGCACCAGCACCAGCAATGCAAAGCAGATATCCGCCAGAAGGCTGGGTCTCTTCGCAGCCGGCCCTCGTGATGCGAGTGCATGATGTGATGCGCTGTCAATCCAACATCATCTTGTAAGGTCCACTGCCACAGCTACGACGGCTCTTGGCGTAGCCACAGGAAAGCTGGGCGGGTGGATAATAGCTCGATGCAACATTTTTCAATCGGCCCTAACACACCCCCAACGCACCCCCTGTGTGCAACCATCCGCAACTTGATGTATCATACACCGAAACCATAAAGCAAGCCCCAAATAGCTTTGACAACTGAATGCCGCCAACTGCTATGACCTCGTTGCTCGTCACGGAGCTGGCTAAAGGGGAAACCTCCTGCAACTAAACACTCCTAAAGCCTGGTGTTGTGCCGACAAAAGACAATCAACGAAATCCTCTGACACTAGAAAAGCCGACACAACCCATTGAGCTCAATTTCGGGTGTGGCCCCGACTCGAGTCGGTCTTGCCCATATTTGCGTTCATGGACACTTGGCCGGCGTAAGGCGCCGTTAAAATCAAAATCGGAGCCAAGAACCTGTGCTGACCAAATCATGGGTGGGGTGTGATGGGGTGGAGAGTGGGGTGGACTGGGGCGCGGCGGCCTGGCACCGACCCTTCCCGCCACGTCCATAGGGCGCCGGAGGTGCCCTGGCATTCCTGGAAAAGGACTTGCGAAGTACCAGTCTCGCCTGCCCCCAAAACAGGGGGTCATAAAACAAACCCCCTGGTCTGCTCCTCCACAGATCCTTTCCGTTTTATGGGCCCCCGTCTGGGAGGGGGGGCCTTGGGCCTTGATCCTCCCAGCATGAGACGTCCCAATCTGCGGGATCCGGCAGACATTCTCCAGACTTCTCGGCACAGTAAATTCCAACTAGCAAGCTGAGTCCAAGAGTCCTGGCAATTAAGGGGGCCATAACAAGGGGTCATGTAATTAACGTTTGATTTCCTTTGACTTTGGTTCAGCACTGATCATCTTCGCATGGGCTCACTCCCCATCATCTCCTTCTGGAGCTCTAGGGTTTAACTTTGAACACTGCAGTATCGCCTTTCCGGGGGTTCGGCCTCCCACTCAGACTCACGACCGAGTTTGCGTTGCCTGGTGGTCTAGGCCCCATCGACATCCTAAGCACCTTCCTCGAAGACCTCAAGCTCCCACCCTTCTGTTTGCTGCTGAAATTTTCAGGTTATGGGCTTCCCGCCGTGCCATTCCTTCTGGAAGAACCCAACCTCATGGCAGGGTTTGGGGCTCACCACGCGCGACCCGGTCATCTCCTTCTAAGGTTTACGACTGCTTCCTTTGTGAAAGGAAGCAACGTCTTAGGAATTGTAGCCTCTGCAGTGAAGATACAACCACGGTGGAGGTAGCTTGCATTGCAACATCCAGCCTGGACCAAGACTTGAGCGCCGCCTCCTTGCAAGACGTGCCAAAGCGCTGCCATGTGCTCTAGCTGAGAAAGCTGAGTTTAGCGGTGCAGACAAAGCTCCATTTCGGAGAGAGCGCCTGGAGCAGAGATCAGCCGCTCGAATCACATGCTAAAGGGTGTTGCGAGCTTCGGACTTGGATCCAGAAAAGCCAGGAGCATCTCTGAGCGAAATACCTCTGCCGGGACCTGGCTTCTTTTGGGGGGGAGCTCAGTGGCTTCCCAACTGAAATCTGGCCCTGTTGCAAAAGCTGCCCAGACATCTCGCTTGCACGCAAGGTAGCGGCAGGGACCCCGGATGTTGGATTTCATCATGAACATCAACGGTCTTGTCTCTTGCTTGCTGCGAGAACGGCAGCAGGCTTCATATGGTTTAAACGGGTCTGCACTTGCCACTGACAGCCAGATCTTAGATTATTTGTGGCCCACGCCCAGTGCAAGCTCAGTTTCTGAGATGGGCAGTCTTCAATTTGCACCCCGTTTGGGGCTCCGGGTCTGTTGTTCTTAGAGTTTCGGATTTGTCACTCCTGAAGCTTGATGGCTTATGCTTTAGGCTTTGTTTTGTTGCTTCTTTCGCCTTTCTCTTTGTTCGAGTGTTTCGGGCTTGTTGCTGCTACTCCTTGTCACGTCAAGCTTTCCAGGCTCTCTTACTCTTTTCTTGATATTTGGCACTTACTACTTCCTGAACACCTACACACTGGCGTGCGGGTGTTCACCATTGCTTCGTGATCATGTCATTCATCATCCACCATCGTTGGCTTGGGCTGCAGTCCTTCTAAGAGGGCATCATTTTCACAACGTGGTTCAGCGACTCTAGCCTCCTTTCAGCAACTGTGAACTGTGTGCTATCTTTCAAAGGGGTCGCCGAGGGTCTGCCCAGACTCCTAGGTGCTAGAATGCCTAAGACTTCGCTTGGAAAGAGCTATTGGGCCATGATACATATGAGGAATCTGACAGTCCGGGCGATCGGCTTGGGTGATGCGGATTACCGGGTTTGCCTTCGGAGGGGCACTATCTGGATAAGGGGTTTCGGATGTCACCTCTCAGTCCATCTCTTCGCAACACCCTTTATGGTTTCGTGGTTGCTGCTGGTTTCAGGAAGTACTACCCTGCTTGGGGCGCAGGGTTTGCTGCCTCCAGCGAGGATTCCGGGATTGCCACGTTGTGTTTGATTGGTCTGCTGCTCCTTTGCGGGTCTGGCGTTTGCAACTCCTCTCCATGTTTCGGATCTGCTGGCCAGCACCCCTTTTTTGGGTTCAGTGTTTGTCAAGCATCACCTCTGTGGCAGAAGGTGTGTCGCTCCAATGCGAGCGTGGGGCTTGCCAATCCTTGTGAGCCGAAGATTGAGGGTCTGCCGCTGGTTTTTGGTATAGTAACAGCTAGCTATAGACAGAACCGACAGGTCTTGAAATAGTCTTGCGGTGTTTGGATGCATGTAGCGATTTCACGCAAACCGAGGACTTTGTTCTGCCAGGGTTCAACTGAGCCCAATGCGAAGATGAACTGGAAGAGATTTCATGGGTTTGGCTGGGGTGTAGGTCCCACCAAACCACCCGGCACGTTCATATGTCTTGAAACTGAAATGAAGCTCTGCGAACAAGTTGCGAAACTGGTGTCTCAGGCTTGAACCAAGTTCAGTGCTGCCTTTCCATGTTGAAAAGGCCTCTGGAAGGCCTGCGAACGGCGCTCGAGAACGACCAGTGACTCGTCACTGCCCACTGAAGGTGCCTCGGGCCCATCGAGTAGCCAAAATGCACCATCGTGCCCAGGGAGTGCCTTAATCATCTGAGCTCTTGCGTTCGAGTCAAACCGGCAGACCCGCTCGGGCACCAGACCAGGTCAATAAACGCAGGACCCAAGCCTCGGGAGGAAGTCAGCTTTGGAAAGGCCATTAGTGCAGAACTCACAGGAAGTGAGTCTGGCTCCTCTGGAGTGTAGGGTACCGTGGCCATACATATCATGTAGATGTGTGGTATGTGTGTATGTATTTATGCATTTATGTATGTCTGTGCGTGTCTCTCTGCAAGCCTGAGATGCTGACCGATGTCCAGGTCGTAGGGCCTCGTCTGTACAACAGGAACCCTGCACGTGAAAAGGCCTTATCTCAGTCCACCGGCCGACCAGCTTTCCTCAGAACCTCCGCAGCCTTCGCCGTCATGATATCAGAGAAGCTTGGTGTTTTCCATCCCCGAATGCCACACCGACATCTCATTGCAAGCTTGTCCTCAAAATCCTAAGCTGCAGGGGGTTCACAGGCCTCGTGCCGGAACTTCAGGGTCGTGTCAGACACAACTCGTCGCTGAGCTGAAGCTGAACAGAGCACATCCACCTCATGAATGTCGAAAAGAACGCCATCTCATCAGATGTCGCGAATCACTTCACTAGCTCTCGGTAGCTCACCATGACTTCTTGAAGCTCCGGGGATAGCTCACAAGCGGCTTCTCGTGAAGAGGGCGACATCAGAAGCCTCACCCTGAACATATCAAAAAGGTTTTCCAAATCTCCGGCTCGGGCTTGGCTGAGCATGGCACACAAAGTTTCGCAACACGATCGCGTGTAGCGGGGATGGCGACTCCTTGGCTCGCTTGCTGCTTCGAAGCCACCGGGCCACCTCCAATGCGCAGCGTTGCACATGCCGCGAACTCGAGAAGGTCGAAATCACTTACACTCCCCTGATCCGATCTCCCATGCCTCCCATAGGTCAGATTGCCCAGCTCGGGGTGTCCAGCCTGCATATGGACGCTTTCGCGCATTGCGACTCAGGCAGAGAGAGGGAGAGAGAGAGAGAGTGTGTGTGTGTGTAAGCGCCCAGCTCGTCAAAGTTAGCCCCAAGCAAACGGCAGCAAGGGTCTCTGGTGACATTGGACGGATGGGCGAAGCCACTGTCAGCAACCTTCCCAAGCCGGGAGTGCTCTCCACCTTGAACATAATCCTAAACCCTAAACCGTAAAACCACTTCGGCTGCGACTGTCAAGCCTCTTGAGGATGTGGTCAACTTCTGGAGCCTGCGCGGAAGTCTTAATAAGTCAAGTGCAACACTTGGGACTATGGAGTCTTGGTGGCCTCAACTATGCCCAGTCTGCCGGCAGCTGCCAGAAGTCGTGCTAAGCCATTGGCTGAAAGTTGGCGCTCTGCTCCCTGGCATCTCAGGCAGAACAGCTGGCAGCTACTGGCCGATCACTCATTAAGGTGGCAGGTGACAAACTAAGAAGGCCGTCGTTTCTCGGCTCCCAATTCAGCGTTCCCATTTAAATTTCGCTTCTCCATGTGCCATCTGCTCCGAACGATCACTAACTTCTCTTTGAATTGGTGTCGGCGCTGTATACTGATAGTTTGTCAATACCACAGCAACGACGGAGAGGTATGATGGAAAAGCTTTGTCCTCCGCGAGGAGCATCCGCAGCCATGGCATCAGCCTCTTTGACGGTTTACAAGGTCGAGAGAGTCGAGACTGCTGGCACTCAAGGCCAAGCGATGCCAAGCGGCTCCGGGAGTGCCAGACGAAGTTTAGCGCAGGACTCTAGCACCTGCGCCGCAATGCGAACCACAACCGAGGAAGTGCTCATGCAGCACGAATGTTGCCTCCACCGCGCGTGTGGCCTTGCCAGCAAGCTCAAATAAGGGCTTTGGTCTGCCTGTGTGGTTCCAATACCAATTTGGGCGCGCACGCCAGTCTCAGTCATGCAATCCAAAGCAGCAGAGAAGAGCGGAGCATGAGGCAAGCCGGCAACCTAGATTCCGTTGCTGTCACAAACCCCACGACGCACGTGGTTCAGTTACTGGCAGCGTCAAGCAGGTGGAATGTAGTTCAATGCTAAGTGCACGGCGGCACATGCTTGCAATGCACCACCCTGGAGACCAAGGGCATGCTTGCATGCGTTTGCCGACGAAACAGCATCGCATACTCGGAGGATCTCGGAGGCGCACAAGCTGATCCGCTGTCAAGTCTGGTGCTGCTTGTGCAATGCTTTGGCAGAGTTTCTCCAGTAGTTGGAGCACCTGGACATCACGCTGAGAGCATGTTCAGGTCAGCAGCTAACGGCCAGTTTTAGCGAGACATGCAAAGTTGGCCGGTCGCATCCCAGTACGCTACGCCTCTGCAGTGGCACCGGCGGCCAGACGTTCAGCAAATGGGGCTGCTGCCTCCACCAACTTGCATAATAAAGCCTAAACCCTAAACCACATCTACTGAGCTACTGTCGCCACACCTCCAAGGCTTGAAGAGCCTCTATCGGCTCGTTGCAAAGCGTGGTAGCCTCAGCAATCGTGACGCCTCTCCGAACCGGACTCCCTGAAATTCCCTGCTCAGATGAGCGCATCTCGAAGAAAGTGAACCAGCTCGAGATCGGTCCTTAGCAGCGCGGTTCAGCTCCGTGCTGTTGTGTGTGTGCTTAGGATGCCATTCAGCTGCCTTGGCTGCTGCCATGCGCTGAGAAGGGCCTGAAACTTTGAGGCCTTGTCCTGCGAAGGGGAGGCAGGAAGGTGCAGAATGCCCAAATTAAGGCTGTTTGCCACGGACCTCAGCTGCGGAAGAGTTGTCGCCTGTGCTGGTGGTACCAGACCTCTCCCTTGCTGGAGCTCCTGGCATCAACTTTGGACTGACGTTGCTTCAGGCTCTAGAAAATATCGGCTACAGATCACCCTGGATGGCAGTGGCAACATGTCGCTCCTTGACATAGCACCTCCCATGTGCTGCCAGCGAAGATGGCTTGCACCTCTACACGCACCATGCTGCTGCATCCTACGTGTATTGATGTATTTGGATGCCTGGATTCTGCTTTGTCACAACGCATGATGCTTGATTCTGGGCTTCCTGCCCGCTCCACATCTGCATCAGGTCGTGTCAGGACCGCTGCTTGCAAAGCCTGGAACTCAGACACAAGTAGCGCGGACCGAACTCCTAAACCCTAAACCCCAAA